GCTGATGATGTGCCCTGTAAACTTTCACTCAATCCAAAATAAAAACATTTATTTAAAAAAAAAAAAAAAGAGTACATCCGCTGATAGGTCCACGGTTCAAACCCAACAGTTGCTCCCTGGGCAAAAAGTCTTAGCAACCTGTTCCTGCAGAGATTACAGCCTAGGAAACCCTACTGGACAGTTCTGTCCTGTCACACATGGGGCCACTATGAGTTGGCATCGACTTGGCGGCACATGTCAACAGCACTGACGGGTAGGTCCAAAACAAATGACCAATGCAGCTCACAGGAGAAATTCCACATAGTATTATACTTTATACTCCACTAAGTCTGCAATATACACAATGAAGCACACAGTGTACTAATCAAAAAGTGACAAGCTGCCACATGGCTTGTGTTAAAACCTCATTTATCAGTACCACCCTTTCCAGGCCCCTCAAATGACAGGCTATGCTGAGATTTAGTTTCTTCCAGACTCCCAGGCTGATTTAAAAAAATCATCATACACAGTAAAAATGCCCTGAGAGAGAATTTGATAGCCTGCTCATCGGGTATAAAACCCCTCAATGTTCCCATGTGACAGAGCAGAACTTCCCCTATAGGGTTCCCTAGCCTGTAATCTTTACGGGAATGAGGAGTCTGAGCAAGGCTGGTAGGTTTGCACCTTAACCTACCAGTTAATGAACGAGCTCTTAACCGGGGCTCTTTCATTAGTGCTTTCACGGCACCAGAGAAAATTTCACCTAGAAACTTTTAAGGAGCACAACACGAGGCCTGCCAGGTGCCCGTTACCTGACCTGGGAACAACTACAGGATCACCACATTTTCTCCCTCCCTCCATTGCTCTCTTTACCACTCTACCTTTCAACTTGTCCCCTCATCATCCAATCTCCCCCACCCCACAAAAGTCCCTCTCCTTTCCCTATGCTTATACAACTATTTAAAACGCCAAAGAACAATCTCACCATTTAAAATATCCTTTGCCAGTATCTAAACAAACTTTATTTTATAAAATAAGACCATAGTAAGTAGCTCACTATTTAGGTGGTTGTTGAGTCAGTTCCAACTCAGAGTGACCCTGTATAGGGTTTCTGAGGAGCAGCTGGTGAGTTTGAATGGCTGATCTTGTGGTACAAACTGACCGTACCATCTAGTGCTTACCATACAGCGCCACACCAGGTAGCCACATCTATTATTACCATCACTGCCATTAACTTATCTCAAGTTCAGGGAGTTGTTTTCCCAAAAAGTATTACAAGAAATTATTTTCAAGATAATCCAAAAATCTCTACACAGTAACTCAGACGCAAGTTAAAAATCCAGAAGACATTGATGGCAAAACCTAGGTTCCATACAGGAGACCTAAGTGTTAATTCCTGGCTGATGTACACCTGTTGCATTGCTGTGGTGCTGAACAGGGTTCATTGGAGCTTACAGACTAAAACTAGGAAGGAAGGCCTGGTGATCTACTTCTGAAGAATCAACAATGAAAACCCCATGGAGCACACTGGCCTTTTCCACAGTAGGTTACCAGGGATAGTTTCATTCCATTGTGCATGCGGTTACCACAATTGTGGGCAACTGAATGGCAATCAACCACCACCCACACGTTAAAAAAATCCACATGTTAATATATGTGTCCACCTAGCTTTCCCTCAGGAAGAGAGGCAGTCATCTGGCAAGGTCACCTACCAGTTGTCGTATATACTCCTGAATGGAGTTTGGATAAACAAGCACAGTAACAGCAACCAAGGTGCTCAGGGCAAAATCGAATATCTGGTAACAGAAGAATGGGATGATCCAGGCAGCGTGTTGCTAAATATAAGAGAAAACAGAACATTAGTGTGGTCAGTATTACGGAAGTGTTTTCCTATCATTAAAGTTAATCTGATTTTAAAAATGGATTAATTGAAACTCATTAAATAGCAACTGATAGTATCTGTCATACCAAAGAGATAAGTAAGCTTCAAAGAACATTTCTGAGACTGTAATAATGGTTTCCTTATTGCCACACTTTATTCATAAGATTCAAACTCCAGACCTTCTTTCAGAAGCCCAAGATTGACTATTATTATTAGTTGCATGATCACTGTAGGTGAGAGACTTGGGGAAAGGGCCAGCACTTTGCTGATAAGTTACTTACCTTGTAGGCGCCATAAGTAGCCATTGCACAGATCAGGATCATGAGGAGAGAAATTGCCATAGCGATGCACACGTCTGCAGAAACGGTAAGAACACCAAAGATGGTCAGTAACAGCTCCCTAACAGCAACACTTTTTGAGCCTCTCCTTAAAGGCCTTTTGTTTATGAACCAGATATAAGCAAGAACATCATACTAAGTAAGCCACCAAACTCTTTTTGGAATTGAAGATGATAGTTAATGGGATCATGTGCTCATTAGGATGTCCCCCTAAATCACACAAATGTTTACAGAGAAGAGATGAGTATTACATGTTTATTTCTGGAAACTGAGCTGCATAAATGATAATAAATGAGGTATTCTTTTAACATATGGGTACTTAACTTGTATTTTAAAAGGTTGTGCCCCTAATTAGAGCCACCAATGATTTCTCAGCTCAATAAAGTAAAATCTCTACTTCTTACTAGTGAAATGTAAGCAGCAGCCAAGTCCTCCTTGCTCTATAGCGTGCCTATCTCTTGTGTCTCATTTCATCTTGCCCCATATTCTCAGCCTCGCTATAATCCATCTGAACCATTTGGGTCACTGAACACAGCACAATCATCCCACTTTAGGGCTTTGTTATTTGTAGTTCCCATTTTCACATGGCTTCTCATTTTCACATGGCTAGCTCCACCTTTTTAAAGATTCAGAGTTCGGCTCAAATGTCAACACTTGACAGAGATCTTCCTAGTACTCATGCTAATGTAGCTCTACCAGACACTATCATATCACTGTTGTTTTTCTTTACAACACCATAGCAATTGGCTACTTGTCCACGAGTCTCCTTGTGTGTGAATCACTTTCTTGACATCCACTCCATTCAGAAGCCGTGTGCCAGAGATCTGTGCTCCAGAGAGTTTTCAATGCTGGATTTTTTTTTTTTTTTTCACCAACCAGGCCTTTCTTTTGAGGCGGCTCTGGTGGACTCAAACCACCAACCTTATATGGTTAGAATCCAAACACTTAACCTGTGTGCCACCCAGGGACAGATTTTTTCTGTATCTTATTCACTACTACTACTACAGGACAGAGCATAATTGCTCCTGAAGGTATCAGAGATTGTCCATCGTTACAGGAGTAGACAGCCTCATATTTCTCCCTTGGAGAAGTTTGGTGAATCTGAACCTACCAGTTAGCAACCCAATGCTTAACCCACTGTACCATCAGGGCTCCTTCACATGGTTATGTTGTTACATGCTGTTGAGTCAGTTCAGACTCAGAGCAACCCCGTATAGGCTTTCCAAGAAGTGGACGGGAGGTTTGAACTAGCACCTTTCTGTTAGCAGTCCAGTGCTTATCCTACAGCATCACACCAGGACTTGTGAGACTATAGAGTATTTAAAACATTATCAGTCTAAATTGAGATTTGCTTAAATATAAAAACTCCAGATTTCAAAGATTTAGTAATTTTTTAAAAATCTCATTAATATCTTTATATTTTAAGTTGAAACGAATATACTGAATTAAGTAAACGAGATTACTAAAATTAATATTACCTGTTTCTTTTTAGTGTTTACTAAAAAATTTACATTACCTACTTGCTTGCCTTATATTTCTACTGAGCCAAAACTCTGTAGTAGATATTACTGTTCATATATTGAACAAATATGAACCCAGGACTCAGAATATATAACTTGTTTAGACTGCATCAAAAGGCTTAATAATAACTAATTCTGCTTTAAAACTTCAAGTTTCAGACAGACTCTTCTGTACTAAAGTTTGAAAACTAACCCAGGGCCCTACTTTCACACAAAACAGGTATTTCTACAAGAAAGCATTCTAGTTTTAGAACCAACCTTTCTGTATACCCAGCTTTAGGATGAACGTAAGCTTTTGAAGCAAGGTGCTTATACACTGAAGCACAAGGAGAAAATACATCCTAAGACAGAAACTATGACAGAGCACCACAATATGGCTGCCACAAAAGCAGTTAGACATTAAGAAGCATCAACATTATCTGTAAAGCCTATTAGATTTTGCAGCATCTCTGAAACTGGAACTCTGCTTAAGAGTTTATTATCTTCTTTGTCCATCTATCCAGCCTCTAAATTCTACACATTTTAAAATGAGAATAAAATTTAGCATGTTATAGAAGCCAGAACATTATAGGATATCCTGACTAATTCACAGATCTTAAGGGGTCCTGGTATGGCACTATGCACTGGACTGCAAGGTCAGATTGAACTGCAAGGTTGGTGATTCAAGCTCACAAACCGCTCCTTTGAAACCCTATACAGGGTCACTATGAGTCCGAAGCAACTCACCGGTAATGAACAGCAAGGAACAAATATAAACTTGCTCAAATTCTAACTAAAAAATAAACTTTTAAGTATAATCTAAAAGAAAAATAACCTTAATGAGAATTGTATTCCTTACTTTAAAAATAAAACCTCCCAATTCAGTCTCATATGTGCCTTGTTGTTGATATGTGCCTTCGAGTCGATTCCAACCCATAGTGACCCTGTATAGGGTTTCCAAGGAGCAGCTGGTGACCGCAAGGTCAGCAGTTCAAATCCAACAGCTGCTCTGTAGTTGAAAGATGAGGATTTCTGCTCTCGTACAGATTTACAGCTTCAGAAGCACTTATTCTGTGGGCTTAAGGTTCTGAAGGGTTATTCTTGAGGGTTTAAGATTCACCAATTTAATTATGTCAAAAGGCAAATCTTTAAAAAAAAAAACGTTCTAATCATACTACAGGGATTTTTACCACTAATAATAGTACTGGTCTGTGAGAGGAACACCCTTTACTTACTTACTTACTCTTTGCAGAACCGCTCCTCCAACCTCTCATGTCAGGGCACATTGCCATTATACGGTTTTCCAAATTAAATTCCTCCCTTAACAATGCAATTCTAATTTGAAAAGGATACCAAGAAAAGCTATACTACAGGCCACAAAAGGCATAATTAGCAAATGTTTCCAGATACTTAGTCAATTAGTCATTGGAATAAAATCAGTATATAAAGGAATGACCTCTATGCCTTTTCTTTAAATAATTTATTTCTAATTTTTCTTTTCTCTTCATTTCCTTCCCTTAAAACTAGCTAAGTAATTCATCTTGTTTACTATTCATAAGTCATTCTCGGATCAAGATTTTCCCTAATTTTTGGCCACATTTCCAGTACTTAGTGAAACACCATTTACTCTAAAAGGTACTTTATCTTCAGTCAAATTTGTAACAACAGTACAGTAACAGACTTGGAGATGCTGGGGGTGGGGCATGTAAAACAGAAAATGTAAGCTCAAACCCCCCACAACAACAGGAACCCATGTTTTCTGGCTACTGGATAGTCTTTTGTGAGTTATCTCTCTTATTGATTTGACACAAAACCCCTTGTTGAAAAGATCACCCCTTTGTCCATGAATGCAATGGTATCTTTATCCTAAATCAGTGATCATCCAAGGGATATTCAAAAGGCTCATAGAAAAAATGAAATTAACAGATGAGAATTTTTCTATAAACTTTTTGAAGCTCTCTTGCATGAGTAAGCATCAATTCTTGATTACTTTTCTGGGCTTCTCCAGGTGTGTCTGCCCAGCGAATAGGATCAAAGGAAGTGAGTGTACAAAGATAAATATGTGTTGGTTCATTTTAACCAGTAATGTAATTAGTTAGACCTGCTGCTTGGTATTGTGCATGGTACAGGCACTTCCCATTACAGTTCTTTACCAAACCACTAAATTTTCACAAATTAAATCCATAAGAGCTTAACTACATCACTCCCTACTTTACTCAAAATAAGCTATGAATATATGATACAACATGCCACGTATGTTACAATCTATTATTCTTTGATTTTCTAATTTGGTTGACAACAATTTTCTTTTGGAATCATACTAGATTTACAAGAAAGATGAAAGAATAATAGTTTATGTAGACTCTGCTTCCCACCAATGTTAATAAGGTATCTAACTACAGTATAAAGGAGTCCTGGTGACGAAAACAGATGATTGACTACTAACTGAAATGTTGGCGGTTTCAACCCACCCAGCAGTTATGCAGAAACACCTGATAATTTGCTTCTATAAAGACTGTTGCTGGTGTTGTTACGTGTATAGGGTTTCCAAGGATCAGTTGGCTAGTAGTGAGTTTGAACTACAAAGTTGGTCTGAGCGGTATGTAACTTAAATGATCAAAGAATAGTCCTAAAAGTAATTATAAACTATTCATTCAATCCTTCCAATATATAAAGTGAGAGAAATCTCAAATGCACCAGAATTAATATCCTATTATAACAGCATTATAATAGCCAGGCATTACAAAACAATTACTATTTGAAAATCTTAAAATTCAGCAAACCTTTGACAGCAGCTAAGTGAAGTCTATACTATACTGTCTGATACTTACACTTAGGGCAAGACATGCAGTTATGTCGTTTAAAACCTCCTTTACGAACTTCACCAATTACTTCAGAAAGGAATACCACTTCTGAAAGTATGACCAGCAATTTGAACCCAACAGTTGCTCCACAGGAGAAAACTGGAGACTTTTTCTCAGATTTACAATCTCAGAAACATATACAGGGTTGCTATGAGTCAGAACCAACATGAAGGCACTTTACAACAAGATCTCGTGTGTGTGTTTTTTTTTAAGTTGATGTCCTCAAATCTGTATCTCAAGTCAGACCTCTCCTCTGGGCCACAGACTCTCACATTTCTACCATGACATTCTAAATAACAATAACTCAAAACAGCTAAGTTTCTTGAGTACTTAATTAGGTCCAGATTTTAAAGTACTTTCCATGTTGCTGTTGTCAAGTACCAAGGAAATGGTTCATAAGAAACCAAGGAAAGGCAGGTGAATTTCAACTGCCAACCTTGTGGCCCAGTGTTTAGCCCACAGTGTCACACCAGGACTCCGTATACTTAGATAAATACCATCATTACCTCCTGGTGTGGCACTACAGGTTAATGAGCTGGGCAGATCTTTTATGTGAGCTGAAAAATAGTAGCATCTTTGATTCTGCCCATATCAGTCCAGTAAGTTCTATCAACTCTACCTCTAAAATTCTTCTCCATTTCAGTACAGCCACCACCACTTATACCTGGATTGCAGAGAAACATCCTGAAACTAGTCTCCTGGTGCTCCAGGTTCACCCCCACCACCTCACCCCTCTGCTGTCACAGAGCCTACAGGACAGAGCAGAACTGTCCCATGGAGTTCCCAAAGCTATAAATCTGTACAGCAAACAGCTTCAGCCTTCTATGGTGGGTTTGAGCTGACGACCTTGTGGTTAGCAATCCAATGCTTAACCCACAGCACCACCGAGGCTCCTTATGCTCACACCAACAGTTTCCCAAATAGATCCTTCACTCTGCAACAAAAGGGATCTTCTTAATAGATCTATTAGATGCTGTGCTTCCTTAAAACCATGGAAGACCTTTTTTACGACTGAAGAGTCAAATACACCATATCAGTATGTCTTTCAAACGCTCCTCACCCCTCACCCCTGCTACAGCCAGCCCTAAGCTTGGGTTTAAGTCATTCAGCACAGGACACCTAGGATTCCATGCGCATGACCTTGCTCCCTCAGTCCCTCACAGCAGAACTCGAATTCTCAAACATCACTAGAACAGAGTGAGGTAGGTACCAGCTCCGCTTACCCCAGACCCACATCCCTGTGCATGTTTCTAATATTGTTGTTTTAAGTGCCGTTGAGTCGGTTCCGACCCATAGCGACCCTGTATAGGATTTCTGAGGAGCGGCTGGTGAGCTTGAACCACTGACCTTGTGGTTCAAGCCGACTTTGCAGTCCTGTGCATTAACCCAAAAAGCCACAAAAGTCCCCAAATACTCGGCAACATATAGATTCTAGAATAGAGAATGGTTACCTCTTGAAAGAAATATTGAAAATTAACAAAATAATTGATGAGCGAATGCCATCATTTTAACATTCCTTCCCACCATTCACTTCCCCTCCCCCTATTCACTCCCTCAGCCCCAAATAGGACAAAGTTTGTGAATGGCAGTAACTTAGATGGTGGGCAGGTGAATGCAGATAAAGGAAAACAGAAGCCATCTTATGTAGCCTCTCATTTTTAGAACAGAGACAGAACATGGTGGCACATAAATGTCTGATCTGCTTTGTAAGGAAGAAAAGTCAGTATCTGCTCAATGAGCACGGTTCCACATTTATAACTTAAGCAGCTAGATTCCCCACTCTTGAAAGTGCCACAAAATGTCAACAATGGTGCCCTGATGTACTTACTGGCATCGTCCATGAACTCCAAGTCCCCTCCTAGTTCAGAACTGGAAAAGTGATACTGATCTGGATCAGCCAGGGCGCTCAAGAGCATCAACAGTACCACAGCATTGATGATCTGAATGAAGTAAGAAGGAGAATAAAAATTACCGCTAAGATAAGCTGGTCCTCAGCACAGAAAATTACACTCTCCAACACCCTGTCCCACCTGTGACAGGAACAGTGTCAGCCATTCAGGTGCAGCCAGAGCCTCTGCCCTCACCCCCTTGCCTAGGCCCATGGGGGCAGTGAACAGCCTTCACATGCAAACCTAGGCAGCAGCTACCGAGACAGTGCTTAGAAGAGTACAAATCTCTCCAAAGAACTAAAGATAAGCAACTGATTGTCTTTTTAAGATGATCACACACTTATCACAGGTTCAAACAACCAGGACTTTGTGACCATGGAGGAAACAATTCAGGGAATGATTGCACAGCCGCCTGATGGCAGAGTAAGCAGAGTCGGGAGGTAGCACAGCAAACGTGTGCTCCTTCGTATTCCAGGCGAACATTCCTGGCTTCAGATACCGATGGCAGAGATTTTCCCCGGATTTTCGGAACTCGGCTCACGTAAGTGGGACATCATCTTTCGTAATACCTCCCACTACTTTTGTACTCTACATTAGTGCAGTTGAGCTCTAAGCTGCTAACTGAAAGGGAGTGGGGTCAGTCTGCTTTCATAAGGATTTACAGCCTTGGAAATCAACAACAGCCATAGGTTAATATGTTACCTTTAAAAGTAGTATCACCATTCATAATTTTAAAAGGGAAACATTTATTTAGTACTAGCTGTGGGCCTGACACATGCTCAATTAATATTCTTGTGGAGTAGGTTCTTAATTATTTCCATTCTATAGATAAAAAAGTAGGCACAGTACCTCCACAGAATAAGCACTGACTGTGAACCACAAGGTTAGCGGTTCAAGTCTACCAGTTGTTCTGTGGGAGAAAGATGAAGCTTTCTGATACTCCAAAGATTTAAAGCCTAGGAAACCCTATAGAGAGGCTTGCTGTGAGTTGGAACCAACTCGACAGCACTTAATACTAATAATAGTAATAATAGATGAGAAAACTAAACTAAGAACATTGCCCAAGACTAGACGCAACCTGTAAAAGAGAATCTGAGACAAGTAATTTTAATATAAAAATCTAACCTCTCTTAAAGTCTCTTGCTCATACTCTATGGCACACAATTCTACTCATACACCTGGGGTTACCATGCGTTGGCACCAACTTGACAGCAATTGTTATAAGCTAGTGTGGGCAGAGTTTTAATGGAGGGGGTGGAGCAGAATAAGTAAGTGATGAAGATGAATCCCAAATGCCTTGGTCATATCTTCCATATACAACCAACTGCAAACTTTCGCCCATTCCACCCTGCTTTCTATTTTTTCTATTCTTCCTAACTGTCCTTTCTAAATAATATATGTCTCAACTTTGACGGGGATGGAGAAGCAAATGCCCACAGGTTAAGCTGTTATTTCTCCTCTATTCCAGGTTCAGAAAAATGTGTGCTTGTTGCTGTTAAGTGCCACTGAGTCAATTCCAACTCACAGCGACCTTGTATAGGGTTTGAGGAGCAGCTGGTGGGTTTGAACCACCTACCTTGTGATTCACAATCCAGTACTGGCCCACAGCACCACACCAGAAATGTATACTACGGTTCTGTGTTTTATTCTTGTCAAAATGGCAAGAAAAGATGAATAATCTTCATTCACAGAAAAAAACAACTTTCACTAACAGCATTAACTAAAGGCATGTTGCTGTTGTTAAGTACCAGTGAGTCGATTCCAACTCAGCAACCCTGCAGAGGGTTTCCAAGGAGCAGCTGATGGGTTTAAACTGTCGACCTTGTTAGCAGTCCAGTGCTTATCCTACAGTGCCACACCAGAACTCAATACCTTAATATAAAAATTGTGATGAAGACATGGTCTGAGTTTGGCCATGTTCCATAGACACCTGGAGGCCTTGAGATAAGACAGAGAAGGGGAAAGGCTGACTGGTTTGAGGAAGTTCAGGGACATGTGTTAACTCTGGACTCCAAGGAAACTGACCTTGCCACTGGGGGCTAGAGTTAAGAGTGAAGCAAGCAGCTGGTCTGAAGTTGGAGGAGGCATGTGAGAACTCCTAACTTGCTGATAGTGCCCATTTGACCTAGCATGGATGGCTTGCTGACCAGAGAACTCAATCAGATGAAGATAAAGACATTTGATACAAGGAGCGAGCATAAACTGCTACAACCTGATGGACTGGACTTTGCTTTATGGATGAAATTGCCCAAAATTCCAACTAAAAAGAAAGAATTCTTATTAAGGATCAAGCTTGCCTCCTCAGTACACTGGGTTGTTAGGAACGGGCAACTTAGACTTAGGCTATCAATATTGGGGGACTATAAAGGCACTAAGTGTCTGGCTTACAAGCTTTCATGAAGGTGCTTAAGTGTCAGAATGAGGGGGTAAGACAGAATCCCCAATGTATAGTTTTCCTCTTGCAAAGATGGATCTGGTGGTGGTGGGGATATAATTTTAAGATTCAATTGTGAGTAACTGGTATCAGGACTAAAGGAAATTGTCACACCTGTAAATGTAGAAGAGATGGAACTAAAAGTGGAGAGAATTTAATCTGTCATTTCAGGAAGAGAGGACCCTAGGAGGATCAAGAGGGAAAAGCACAAGAGGAGTGAGCGATCCTAGCCAGAAAAGCAGTGACAACAGAGATGGTGGCAGAGGCGAAGGCATGGAGAGACAGAGCAGCAGAGGACTACAGGCCCATGGGGGGGGGGGGGGTGTAAAATACTGTTAGCTGGTGGTGAAAAGGATTGTAATCATTGTGAGACAGGCACTGGGCCCCAACCCCCAGAGCACACATCTCATTCCAAGGGCAGGATCCGCATTCCAGGAGCTGAGCAACAAACCTCTTCAACCCTACAGGATTATCACAACTAACCCCCTTCTGGCACTCCTCTCCAGGAGAAAACAAAGCCCCCAAGTTAAAGCGTACTTGTTTCCGCTTCTGTAAACTGCCCACCTGCCTGCTTGCTGGACCAGCCTTACACACCTTCCTTGGGCCACCCTGTAACCCAAATACTATATAGGCAGCTCCCCCCCCCCCCCCATGAACTGGGCTCAGTCTCTAGCTAAGAATCCACTGAGCCATGGGTCGGCACAATAAAGTCCTTCCTTTGTTATAACCAGTGTGGTGTTGGCAACTCCTTCAGAGTGACTCTGGTAACAATTGTAATGATTTGTTCAATGTAAAACTGATGATCTGCTCTTCACTCAATTCACAGTAATAGCTTTAAAAATGAAATTGTGTTTGAAGATAAGCAATTTACAGAAGAGGTGCAAAAGGGGATTCAGAATATTTATTTAACAAAAACATCCATTCCAGAATTCTTTGTCAAATGGCAGTCCCTAGTGGTTGCTTCAGGGTTATGGAATTTGAAATACTTTTCTTCTGTATTTTCCAAATTGTCTAAGACAGCTTAATCACTTTTTCAGGGGGAAATTATAATAATGAGAATATGAGTTTCCCAGAGCACACATATATGAATAGGCTTCAAAAACTCCATGGGAGAATTTCACCATCTTTTAATTCCACTTTCCCATGAACTTTGTAAATCCCCTTCATATTTACTAATTGAAGTAGCTATTACAAAGATATGGTTAAAAATCCAAATTCAAAAATCCAGAAAGATTCAAAAGGGTCAAAGATCCCTCTCCAATCCCTAACCACCCTTCCCACAGGAGTTATTACAAGTACCAGCTTTTTTGTTTCTCTCCAAAGGTCCAAGAACCCTCATAGCATATTTCTGATAACCACAATAACAGCACTCTATTTGGAAAAAAACTTGAGAACATATCAAAGGCTTAAAGGAAGGTGCAAGCTGGTCCCACAACTGCCACCATGTCTGGAGCTGAGATGTTACTTGATAAACTATTGTTATTTTCTTGGAATTTAATTCCTCTATAAGCTTATCTTTGAAAACCGCCATGTGAATGAATTAGGACTGAAACAAGATTAGATGAAATAAGCATACAAAGGTTCTAAGGTTTTAATGGCTGAAAAAGAAAATCTCAAACTTTGTCTTCAACAGATGCAAACTGTTAAGGTGCTGGATTGCTAACTGAAAGTCTGGAGGTTCACCCAGAGGCACCTTGAAGGGAGGCTGGAGAGCGACACTTAAAAAAAAAAATCAGCCATTGAAAACTCTATGGAGCACATGGGGTTGCCATGAGTGGGAGTCAACTTGACAGCAACCGTTAATAAGCTAGTGTGGGCAGAGTTTTAATAGAGAGCGTGGAGTGGAGCAGTGATGAAGATGGAAAGGTCAGGAAATGGTGCAGTGTGAGTCTGATTAAGAAAATAGAAGCCAGATTCAGAGAGGCTAGTTATAGGAGCTCTGGTGGTACACTGGGTTAAACATTTGGCTACTAACAGATAAGATTGGCAATTTGAATCCACCAGCTGCTCTGCAGAAGAGGACGATATAGAGCAGTAGAGAGTTGCTATGAGTTAGACTCAACTCAGTGGCAGTGGGTTTGGTTAGGTGTTTTGGATAAGATTTATTAAGGAGTTAAGGAGCTCTGGTAGCATAGTAGTTATGAGTTAGGCTGCTAACCTCAAGGTCAGCAGTTCGAAACTACCAGCCATTTTGCAGGAGAAAGATGAGGTTTTTTTGCTCCCGTAAAAATGTACAGCCTTGGAAACCCTATGCAGGGTCACTATGAGTCAGAACAGACTCCACAGCACACTAGCACCAACAGCAGTTAAGGAGTTTGGATAGTAATGCAAGGTATAAAAGAAGCCAATGGAGACCATTAAGGCAGAGAAGAACGTAATCTAGCTGGGGCTCAAGTTGGTAGATATATGTAAAATGGTGACTGGCATACAGTAGGCACTCAAGTGCCTTTCCACCTTAACAAGAACCATAGAAAAGTTCTTGGCTTAGTAGTAAAGCATCTGGTAAGAACTTCTAAGCCAGAGTCCTACAGATGCAGCTGTTTTCCTGCCCTTTCAGTTTCAATGAACTTGTCAACTCTTAATCAGCTTGTTATTATCCCCTGTCTGGCTTACTCAT